TCTGCAGAGGTTTCTGCTGCTTTTTTTTGTTTGTTTGTTTAGCTGTGCCCTGTCCCCAGAGGTGGAGTCTACAGAGACAGGCAGGCCTCCTTGAGCTACTGTGGGCTCCACCCAGTTTGAGCTCCCCAGTGGCTTTGTTTACCTACTTAAGCCTCAGCAATCGCGAGCGCCTTGCCTTTAGATCGCAGACTGCTGTGCTAGCAATGAGGGAGGCTCTGCGGGCGTGGGACCCTCCCGGCCAGGTGTGGGATATAATATCCTAGTGTGCCATTTACTAAGACCCTTGGTAAAGCGCAGTATTGGGGTGGGAGTTACCCGATTTTCCAGGTGCTGTATGTCACAGTTCCCCTGGCTAGGAAAAGGGATTCCCTTCCCCCTTGCGCTTCCCAGGTGAGGCGATGCCTCGCCCTGCTTCAACTCTTGCTGGTCGGGCTGCAGCAGCTGACCATCACCAATTGTCCAGCACTCCCTACTGAGATGAACCCTGTACCTCAGTTGAAAATGCGGAAATCACCCGTCTTCTGTGTCGCTGGTGCTGGGAGCTGGAGACTGGAGCTGTGCCTATTCGGCCATCTTGCTCCGCCCCATCACAGTGTTTTTTTTAATGCAGTGTTTTAATTACCAAAGATATTAATGATACATTTTTCTAAGCTTTCATCTCTTTCTGGTCTCTGTTTCTTTTAAGGTGCTGTTTTCGTATTTAGTTAGTTTTTTTTGTTTTCCCTTTTTCATATCAAACATTTTAATCATATCTCTTGATCCTTGGTTGCCTTCTCTTATTTACTTACTTTCTATTATGAGAAGTTTGAAGCACATACAAAAAAGGAAGAAAAGTGTAATGAATCCTGAAGCATCACCCAACTTCTAGATCAGCATTTTGTCTATGAATTTAGGAATGGACACTAAAAAGCTGAGTAGAAGGATTGTGTGTGTGGTGTGCTGGGGAGGCTTGCTGATTATGGTGGTTTTTTTTCTTGAGACCGGATCTCACTCTGTTGCCCAGGCTGGAGTGCAGTGGTGTGATCTCTGCTCACCGCAGTCTCTGCCTCCAGAGTTCAAGTGATCCTCCTGCCTCAGCCTCCCTAGTAGCTGGGGCTATAGGCGTGCACCACCATGCCTGGCAAATTTTTGTATATTTAGTGGAGACAGTGTTTCATACTGTTGGCCAGTCTAGTCTCAAACACCTGACCTCAGCTGATCTGCCCGCCTTGACCTCCCAAAGTGCTGGGATCACAGGCATGAGCCACTGCTCCCGGCCATGATTGTGTGTTTTTCTTTTAGAATGATCTCGTTAGGTTTTGTAGGAGAATGTTTTTGGGTTAATTTTTTAAGGTCTTTCCTCAGTGAAAGACCCCTCAGTCTCCTGCCTGTTACATGCTGATATAATCTTCCTGTTTTATGTCATATCCCTGTTCTTGATTACGTGGTATCTCCTTGTCTTGAAACCATCTGTTTTATCTTAGCAGAAAATAAATAGCTGGTTTTATGCTGGTTCAGAGGAGGGTCAGTTAGTTTTCTGCTTATGTATCTGGATGAGATCTTGGCATCAAACTGCTTTCTAAACATTTTCTAGAAGTCCTCTTATTATTAATAGTTCCTTTTCACTGTCCTCCAATCCTCTGTCCCCCAGATGCATGCATGCATGTGCACACGCACTTGTGCACACACACCCCTCAAAATACCTGGTGCCATTAGTTCCTCAGTCTTTTTTCTGTAGTGTAAATCAGGTAGTTTGTCTTTTCCTGCCGCCCCTGCTGGATTTTAGTTTTGGTTTCTTCGTTAGCTAAATCAGTTAGCACTTGTCTTTCTTCCCAGCTTCCAAAGTGAATTACTTTTATCTTTTCTTATGCTGTCTTTGTATTTCTGTTTTTAGTTCTTTAAAAAAAGGGAAAAATCCTTCTGTATCCTTTTAGTTGGCTTTGGGAAAGAACAGTAGTAAATGCATGTGTTGAAACTGTTCATCTGTTAGCTGTTAACATAGTGATTTCTAACACTGCTTTATTTGGTATAGCAGGAACGTAGAGTATAGAGCTTGCGTAGGGGGAACTGGTCAGGAAGGCTAAGTGAACATCTCTTGAAGGTCAGAGGAAGAAATGTTATTTTTATTTTAGAAAAGTAGTCAGGGCACCACTGAGGTCACTAGTTCGGAAGAGGGTAAAACTAAGGTCAAATAGACTAATTAGGAGACTGTTAATCAGAAAAAAGACGATAAGAACCTGAATTGTGGAGAGAAGGGGAAAGATTTGAAAAATATTTAGGAGATATTTCTTCTTTGAAGAAGAAGAAGAACCAGGAGGTAGTTATGATATAATTTATCTCTAGGTAATTAGTGATTCATGTCACTTGAGTTAGGAAATACAGGAAGAAGAACTGTATTTTAGGAAGACAATGAGTTGGTTCAGTATTAGAGGTTGAGATGACGTTCTAGCTGATAATGTGCTGTAGTTAGTTGATTATCTGGAGTTCAGAGAGTTGTTTCAGAGATGATGGATTTGTGTATCATCAATGTGTTCATGGGACATGAGAAGAGAGCCAAGGATACTACCCTGAGAATGGTCAGTATTTGGAGGGTGCTGGTTTTTGTTTTTTTGGTTTTTTTTTTAATGTTTCTTTTGTGGAAGTAATTATAGATTCACGGGACGTTTCACGGATTGTATAGAGAAATCCCATGTATCCTTCACCCAATTTCTCCTTACATCTCATGTAATTATAGTAGAATATTAATTCTCCTCTCCTTAAGTATTCCTGGTAGTTCTCTTATTTTAATAACTGATGAATTTATTTTTGAACTTTCAGAGTATTGTAGGCAATGTCTTGTAGTTACTGTGGACCCAAAGGGTGCTTACATTTACTTAAAGCTGCATATCAGGGATTGGACACATTCTTTAGCCACTAGAATTATAAGGTACTGAATCTCTTCAGATGTTGATTAAGACAGTGTGTGTGTTTAGCAGTTGCTTACTTTAGTTTTGCTAATGATAGCATATTTTGAATATTGGAATACAGACTTAAGTAAGTAGATAAATTTTCCAAGGAAATTTTAAGTCAATTTGATAATCAAAATGAACTTGACTGGTTTTTTTTTCTTAATATTCTTTCTTTTTTGTTTCATGAAAGATTGAGCTATGTAGAGTGACATTGAAGTGAGTTTTAAGGCCCACTGTGTACTACTCTGTTAAATAATGGTATTTTCATAATTCTCTTCCTTTGGAAAACTCTTTAACAAAGTCTTCCAAGTGGTTTTTCATGATAAAAAGGGCCAAAATTGTATTTAACATAAGTTCTGGAGATTTAATATACAGTGCAGTGACTATAGTTAAAAAATAATGTATTGTACACTGGAGATTTGCAGGTAAAATCCCAACAATTGAACTTAGTAGTATATGTCATCAAAAGGGGAATATATATATGCTATGTGGCCTTATAATTTGCTTTGAATTATATTGACATTTGAATTACTTCTTAGGTGAGGAGGTATTTGGTAATTTATTTGGTTTCCTGTTTGTGTTCATCAAATTATAGATATTATGTTTTACAGATTGACGTTTTACCCCTTTGTTTTCTTCCAAAATACTTACTGTGTAATACATTGAATCAACCTCCCTAAGACAGTAATTCAGCAAACTAGAATTTTATATCAAAACTTACTTTCTTTTTCCATCTTTGTGTTCTTGATTCATTAAAAATATTATCAAAAATTCTTTAATACATTGAAAAGATAACAGAAAACTCCTTTGCCGTCATCCCAACATCATCCTTTTTCCTTTCCTGTATCTAAGAAGCAGTAAGTTTTTTTCTGTTTGCGTCCAGAAACATTTTTGTGTATACCATATACAGATATCTAGATATTTTAAAAAATTCTTTGACACGTGGAATTGTTATACACGCTTCTGCACCTTTTAAATTTGTTTGAAAATTTAAAATTCTGTGTCAAATCCTCCCATCCTTTTGTGTGTGTGTGTGTGTGTGTGTGTGAGGTGAGGGGATGGACAGATTCTCACTCTGTCATGTAGTTTGGAGTGCAGTGATGGGATCATAGCTCACCGACTGCAGCCTTGAACTCTAGGGCTCAAGTGATCCTCCTGCCTCAGTCTCCTGAGTAGCTGGGACTACAAGCAGGCAACACCATGCTTGGCTAACTTTTAAATATTTTTCAAGAACAGAGTCTTGCCATGTTGCCCAGGCTGGTCTCCAACTCCTGGCCTCAAGCAGTCCTCCCGCCTTGGCCTCCCAGTGAGTTGGGATGACAGGTGTGAGCCATGGCGTTCAGCCCCTACAATGTTTTTTAATGGCTTTTCAATATTCTTGAATCTGAAGTTCCATAATTTAATTACTTTACCGACGAACATTTAGGGTAGGTTCGTTTTAGATTATTTAGGTGAAAGCATCTATAGAATTTAAAATTCCAAGGTTAATATGTCATCTGTAGTGACAGGGAGAGGAAAATAGATATTTCTTGTATGTGCAATCTCTTAAAATGAACAGATGTATGTAGCCTTGGCATATACATTTTTTTTAACTGCCAATAGGCAATTGAATAGTATTTTTTAATTTTTCCTTTCCAATTATAAACAGAACTAACTTTGTTTTACTATTGCTTGACCTTCCTAAAAATATGATTCATTTTTTTTAATTGGTTTTAGGGCTTTTTATATGATAGGTAATTTTTTGGTGGGGGATGGGACATTAGAGTGTCTTATTGTAAGTTTTATTTATACTTCCCATAGGGATTAGGAGCAGACAGCAAGAACCTGTACCCTTTCCTGCTCCCAGTTATTCAACTGAGTACAGATGTTTCCCAGCCTCCACATGTTTATCTTCTGGAAGATGGTTTAGAATTATGGTAAGAGGAAAAACTTAATACCATGGATCTTACTTTATTCGTGACCTTTCCTACTCTCATGCCAATGAAGTTAAGGTCATGTAATAGGGCTTTGAAAACAAAAAGTGTAAACTCTGTTTCTTCAAACTGGGCCATATATCTCCTTTTTTTTTGACAGCTGTCACTCAGTGTAGGATTACAGTAGACAAAGTTAAAGGTGGACATTTCAGTAGGAACTCAACTGCATTTCATCTTTTGGAATTTGTCATGTAAAATGGGGTCATGGTAACTTTTCCAAAAAGTTTTTGACTTATAATTTCCAGTCTGTTAAATGAGATGTTTGGGGGATATTAAGGTCCTCTTACTACTTAACCAAGCATCGAGATATTATACCTCAGCTCCAAATGCTAATGCTACTTACAGTCTTAACTTATTGTTTTACTGAGTAAATTAGTAGTATGCATTATTAAGAGGTTAAAAAAAATGCCCTGCTTCTGTGGCAGCTCAGTGCTACAAAGGCTTATTGACTGCCCATGGTGTGTAAGCAGCTGTGCTAGAAAATCCTTTTGCTTTATTAAACTCACTGTACTGTTGGCAACAGTTTTTTCCAGAGACAATCTTTCAGTAATACATGAAAAGTTTCAAAATCCCGTTATGTAAATTGATAGTGCAGTTAAAGAAAGCAAATCATAGAGATCAACCATAAAAGAAATGAACATTTGTTTCTCTTCATCCCTGCCTCCCTCCCTTTGGAACTTGCTTCCTTCCTTCTATTGTTTTTCTTAGATGTCTAGAATTTAACAGTTTTGGTTCTTAGAAATTACCTTTGATGCAAATTATAAATAATGATCTATATCAGGATATGAGATGAATGACTTTAAAACTTTACTGAGTAGATATTTATTAATTTATGGTTTGCGTTCCTCAGAAAGGTATTGTTCAAACTGAAATGGCATCTATATGGTTTGGTTGTAAATTAGCCTGTTGTTGAAATATTTTATATTCAAACATTTTGTATAAGGATGGATTACTTTAGATCAGAGGTTGGCAAACTTGTACTGGACAGGACCAGATATTAAATATTTTAGGCTTTCTAAGTGACACAGTCTTTGTTGCAACTATTCGACTCTACTGTCAGTGTCAAAACCGTCATAGACAATACATAAACAAGTAGGTATGGCTGTGCACCAGTTAAACATCATTTATAGAAATAAGTACGTGGGTGGATTTAGCCCGTGAACTGTAGTTTGCCAACCTCTGCCCTAGATTGTAAGATAAAATATTAATTCCTGGCAGATAAATAATTTTTGTAAACATGTAGATACTATATGATGTTGAATGTTAGAAAAAAATCCAATATTAGAGATTAGACTCAGAGTTATCAGTATTGCTGACAATATATTAATGTGTTTATTAAAGGTGTAGATATTTTCAAGAGATTACATTAAAAAGTAGTAGTAAAAATGCACTGCTTTGTTAATGGAAATGTTTTTTCCTAGCCTTTAGTTACTTGCTAATGAAAATAAAATATTAGGAGAAAAAATTTTTAATTACCTAATTTGTTAATAGTTGAGCTTCTTTAAAGAGAAAAAATTCATGAAGAAACTCCTTCTTCATGAATTTTTCTTGATGGGTTAGAGTTTATATTTGAAATCAGGCAAACATAGGCACCATTCCCAGTGATATTACTGCATTATATATGTAATTTGAATAAGTTAATCATCATTGGTGAACCACAGTTTCCTTGTCTGTAAAATGAAGAGTAATTCCTACCCTTACATGATTGTCGTGAATATCAGATAATGTTTGCTGAAGTGGTTGGCACTTTGGATATGGCATTCAATGCTTGAAAATAATTCAAGATTGCCTAGGAAGCAAAGGACAGATAGAGAACATTCTGCCTAGGGCAGAATTCTAATGAACTTGTAACATTTTGAGGACACGAGGAGCCATCTACAAAGACAGAGAAGAGCTATGTACTTATATAGTAGGAAAACCAAGCCAAGAGAGGATAACATTTCCTAGAAGAGGGGAGAGTGGTCAACTTTGTCAAATGTTGCTGATTTTCCTAGTAAGATTGGTATAGAGATGTGGATTTGGCCACATGAAGATGTTAGGAGGGTTTTCACCGGAGTGGTAAGAACATAAATTAGAATTGGAATAGACTGAAGAATGAATTGAAGGTAAGTCCGTACAGACTATACACACTGATAACTTGTTTGAGAGCTTTTACTATTAAGAGGAGCATAGAAATGGGGCAACAGCTGGGTAGTGTGGGAAATGTTAAGATCTAGAGGAATGGGTGAGGCTGGATTGAGAGAGTGGGATAAGTAAAGGAAGCAAAAAGTGGTGGGATTCAGAGCTCAAGTGCAGGGGTTGAATTTTAGTAGCAGCTGGGATACTTCATCCATTTTAACTGGAGGCAGAAGGTGGTTTTCCAAATTTTGTAGTGTAATGAGATAGGAAGGTGTTCCATCCAATAGCTTCTACTTTCTCGACAAAATATGAAGCATTGTCATTAGTGGGGAGTAATGGGCTGAATTAGGAGTTTGTACAAGATATGAGAGGTCTATAGGTGAGAGAAAGTATGAAGTAGTTATCTTAGAGAATGGCAATTTGAATTTATTAGGGATGAAACCAGTACCACTCGATGTTTGGGGTCACGAATATAAAGTGAAACTCTCAGACTGATTATGTGATTTATCTCCCACTATGGCTTTTTATTTTCCTCTTGCTCCATCTCACTAGAGATTTGTCAGTTACTAGTCTTTTCAAAAACAACCTTTGGCCTTGGTTCTCTTTGTTGTATATCTGTTTCCTATTTATTAATATCTGTTCTTATGTTTATTATCTTATTCTGCTTGCTTTAGGTTTATGGGCTTGTTGTCATCTGATCTCCTTTCTAAGAAAATCAGCTTATCAACTCTTAGCCTTTCTTCTATCATAATATAAACATTTAATACAATAAATTATTTTTATACAGAATTTGAACAAAAGACCTTGAATAGTTTATTTTTATTTTTAAGATAATTGGATGAGGTAGTAATGAATACTGGTAAGCAGTCAGCAGTATCAGCTATATCTTGTTAAATGTAATATCATTTTTAAAAACGAAACAAATTTGATTGCTTTTTGTCATTTACTCAAAAGGTCATATCTTTCTCTTAAGAAAAAAGCCTTTCTTTTAAAAGAACTTTGACTTCCTAGGATAAACTTGACTTGGTGGGGAATTCTACTATTAATGCATATTATAAACATTTTTCTAATACTTTATCTAATTTTATTTTTTCCTCTATTAATGAGCTGGATCTGTGACCTACATTTTGTGATTCTTCTTGATTTTATATCAGTGCTATGTTTAACAATTTAAAAATGGTTTTCATTGCACTGGAATGATTTTTGTGATATGTACCAATCTATTCTTTATACGTTTGAACAATTAATTAATAAAAGGAACTGGAAATAGACCAATGTTGGGGGCCACGGGTTCTTTATAGTTATGATAGCATCATCAGGTTATTCCTTAGTTTTTAGTTTTTATAGCCAATATTAGATTTTGAATAGGCTTTCCCCTCCTTTCGTCGCTGCTGTTTTGACAATCAAAACAATCCTTGTTTTGAGGGTTGGGGGATGTGAACAGATGGACCAACCACACACTTCTGGGATAACCCATCATGGATATATATTATGTCATGGATTGTGATCAGATTAGTTTGTAATTGGCCTTTGTTACACTAAACTTTCCATGTATACGTATTATATTACGGATTGTTTCATAACTGCTAATGCGGTCAGATTGGCTTGTAATTGCCTTTATTGTACTAAGTTCATATTTGTTAAGCATTTAGCATAAGTTTTACTAATTTATTAGCCTAGTTTCCCATCGAAGAACATATCAATTACATGTGGCAGAGGAACATATCAAGAAAATCAGAACAACAACTTTTTTACCTGTTTGACCAATTTGTAATAGTTATGCTTTTGGTTTATTGTTATAATTTCATTATTATGGATACTTTAGTATATACAGTTGTGTCTTTCTATCAACAGGAGATTGGTTCCAGGACTACCACATATACAAAAAATCATGCATACTCCAGTCCCGCAGTCAGCCCTGCGGAACCTGTGTATATGTGTATATGAAAAGTCAGCCCTCCATGTACTTTGGTTTTTCATCCTGTGAATACTGTATTTTTAACCTTGCATTTGGTCGAAAAAGTCTGGATATAAGTGGACCCACTCAGTGTAAAGCTGTGTTGTGCAAGGGTCAACTGTAGTTATTTTCCTTACTACTTTTGCTGTGTATGTAGAAATACTACATAATTTGTAGACAGGTTTTTATTTTGAGACATTTGGTTAATTCTTTCTTAGAAAGATAATTTTTATAACTTACTGATTATACACTTACCTTTCTTCATTGAAATGAGACCTTTTAAAATATTTAAGTCATATGTTAATGGCTTTAATGGGCGTGGAAAGTGTTTAATCATCTGCTTTTTCTTTCTAGGTTAGTAACTTTGGAAAACAGCCCATGTATCACACCAGAGTTGCTGCGTGTATTTCAGAATATGTCACCACTTCTTGGTATGTGTTAAAGTATAAACTTACTAATGTTTTTTAATGCAACCATAATTTGAAGGCATTGAAACAAATTTTTTTTTATATATATATATAAGTTCAACTTTTAGTTTAGATTCAGGGGATATATGTACAGGTTTGTTACATGGATATATTGCATGATGTTGAGGTTTGGGGTCCAGCTGATTCTGTCATCCAGTTAGTGAACATAGTACCTAATAGTTTTTCAACCTTTGAGTTCCTCCCTCTGCCTTCTAGTAGTTCACAGTATCTATTTTTGCCATGATCATGTCCATGAGTACTCAGTGTTTAGCTTCCATTTATAAATGAGAATATACATACTTTCCATTTTTATTTAATCCCTGATATTGACAAATAAGTCAATTGGTGGTGTTTGTTTTGTTTTGAGACAAGGTCTTGCTCTGTTGCCCAGGCTGGAGTGCAGTGGCATGGCATCTACTGCAGCTTCAAACTCCTGGACTGAAGCAACTGCTGTAGCTTCCTGAGTAGCTAGAGCTACAGGCACACACCACCACATCTGGCTATTTTTTTTGGAGATGGAGTTTTGCTCTTGTTGCGCCGGCTGGAGTGTAATGGCGTGATCTCGCCTCATGGCAGCCTCCACCTCCCGGGTTCAAACTATTCTCCTGCCTCAGCCTCCTGAGTAGCTATGATTACAGGTATACATCACCACACCCAGCTAATTTTTGTATTTTAGTAGAGATGGGGTTTCACCATATTGGCCAGGCTGGCCTTGAACTCGTGACCTGATGATCTGCCTGCCTTGGCCTCCCAAAGTGCTGGGATTGTCAGAGGCAAAAAATGTCCCTGAGGTATAATGAATGACACACTGGAAAAATAGACTCACTCTTTGAAAATACCAGCAAATGTGGACTAAAAACAATTGTAACTGATTAAAAAATCATTTTCTTGCCTTATTTGTTGCATGAACATGGTGGTTAGATAATGTGATTAGTTCTTCACATTTTCTCCTAAATTTTTTGTTACTCTTTTCAAATAACAATCAAGGTATCCATTTATTTTCCAATAAAGAGCCATTTGCTGTTTGTTATCTAGAGTCCCCATAAAAGGAAAAACTTACCAAAGATGAAGTCAGTGGCAATAGGTGTTGATCTACTAGGAAAAATTTTTTCTTTCAGTCATTGTAGAGAAAGAGAATAGGGATCTTTGGTGAAGGCCTTTTTAGTTCTGTTCTACCTAACTTTGAGACTACATACCATCCTGCTTTAGGCAATCCACAGGTTTCTTTATATTTGACCTAGGATTAGACACCTCAGCCAGACCTTTTACCAGCTTTGTCATGAACAACATTCAGCTGCTTCCACATATGTGTGATTTCACACATTGGTATCTTTTCACTGTTTTCCACTTCAGATTCAGCATGCTTAGTCTCCACAATGCTCAGTTCCCTAAGAGTGGTGGGAGAGGCATTGGTAATCAAGAATAAGAGATTTAAATAGAAAGCATATGACTTACTTTACTATAACTGTATGACACTATTTTTAGTGTAGATTTAGTTAAGTCCTCTAGTGTAGTGGTTTTTTGTTGTTGTTGTTGGTGGTGGTGGTGGTAGTGGTGGGTTTTTTGTTTGTTTGTTTGTTTTTGGTTTGTTTGCTTTGTGTGTGTGTGTGTTTTTGTTTTTGAGACAGAGGCTTGCTCTGTCACCCAGGCTGGAGTGTAGTGGCTCAATCTCAGCTCAGTGCAACCTCCGCCTCCCAGGTTCAAGCAGTTCTCCTGCCTCAGCCTTCCCGAGTTGCTGGGACTACAGGCATGTGCCACCATGCCCAGCTAATGTTTTGTATTTCACCATGTTGCCCAGGCTGCTCTCAAACTCCTGGCCTAATGTGATCCGCCTGCCTTGGCATCCCAGTGTGCTGGGATTACAGGCTTGAGCCACCTCTAGTGTAGTTTTAACGATAGAAATCTTTGTAGTTGATGCATGTTTCTTACCAAATCAGTAAGGAGTTTTATGTGTTTGGAATAATACCTGGCACAGAGTAAGCATTATCTAAATGTTTTGCTAGTATGTTTAGTACTATCACTATCACTATTAATATTACTCCTATTTTAAAATTATCCTACCTTCAGGATTTGTTACTTCAGGATTTGTTACTGGCTCTTCAGGATTTGTTACTTTACTGAATCAAGAACTAATGAAATTTCAACCTTTTGATAACGGATATTCAATTTAAACTTTTTTAATTTTTAAAGATTTAAAAAGTTCTATTTTATAAAGTTTCGATAAATATAGGTGATGTGGATGCTATTGAATTGTTTTCTACTTTTATTGTTCAAACTGGTATGTGTATTTATATCAATAGTGAATAAATTCTGTTTACATTTGTTCATGTTTATTAGTACATCTTGACCTCAGTATTGCTTTTATTTTTATTTGAGTTTGACATACAGCTTTTTGCCCCTTCCTTCCTTCCTTCCTTCCTTCCTTCCTTCTTTCCTTCCTTCCTTCTTTTCTTTCTTTTCCCTCCCTCCCTTCCTTCCTTCCTTCCTTCCTTCCTTCCTTCCTTCCTTCCTTCCTGCCTCCCTCCCTCCCTCTCTCTGTCTCTGTCTCTGTCTCTCTCTCTCTCTCTTTCTTTCTTGTTTCACTCTTGTTGCCCAGGCTGGAGTGCGATGGTGTGATCTTGGCTCATCGCAGCCTCTGTCTCCCGGGTTCAAGAGATTCTCCTGCCTCAGCCTCCCTAGTAGCTGGGATTACAGGCATGTGCCACCACCCTGGCTAATTTTTTGTGTTTTTAGTAGAGGTGGGGTTTCTCCATGTTGGTCAGGCTGGTCTTGAACTCCCGACCTCAGGTGATCCACCCGCCTTGGCCTCCCAAAGTGCTGGGATTACAGGCATGAGCCAGTGTGCCCGGCCGTACATTCTTTCATATAAGTTTAAAAATTTATTTTTAAATACAACCAGAATATTTAATCTTTTAAGAGTATAAACCAAAGTGAATACTGTTTTTGTATCAGTTAAATTCTCTTATCAGAACAATGCTTTTAAACTATCTATTTAATGAGTATGCTAGGTATTATATTTTTCTAAGCAGAAATTAAGCCACTGGGCTAGTTGCAGTGGCTCATGCCTGTAATCAGATAGATTGCTTGAGGGCAGGTGTTTGAGACCAGTCTGGGTGACATAGCAAGACCTCATGTCTACAAGAAATAAAAGTTAGCCGGCCTTGGTGGCCCATGCTTGTGGTTCTAGCTGCTCAGGAGGCTGAAGCAAGAGGATCAAGGCTGCAGTAGCTGCAATGAGCTGTTACTCTGCTCTTGGATTCCAGCTTGGGCAACAGAGCAAGACGCTTTCTCTTAAAAAAAGAAAGGAAGAAAGAAAGAAAGGCACTGGCAGAAAGTTTCCTACTTTAAAACATATAAAGCCAACATTATAGAACACTTTAAGATGTTTAAGTTAATGGTTTTTTTAGGATGTGTTAAGTATGAATATATTCAAGGCTAAGATTCATTTTATGTCCTTTTCCCTACATGTAAATAGAATCTGATAAATTTTAAGCAGAACCAGAGGCTGTAACTAGAAGTAATTCTATTAATTTAGTTCTAATGGCTTTTTTTCTTTAAATCTATGTTATGGTGTTAATTTACTTAGTATTCTCATTACTTAAAAGATCAGCATGTGATTGGCTCTTGTCCTAGTTATTATGAATGCAACACTGATGTTCCTTTAAGTGTAAACTTTTTCAGCTGGTAACTTTCTGTCAAATTTGGAAAGGATGAAGTAGATTTCTCTAGATTCTGTATAACATAATTTAATAATTCACTCCGCGTCCTCCTTACAGAAATTTAAAGGAATATATAAAATATAAAATAAAAATTAAATGTAGGAGCAGAATTATAAATAAAAGCAAATAGGAGTAGATTATAAAATAAAATCACACTAATGATATGAATCATATATGCCCAGTGCATAACTAAATACTTAGATAGGTTATATACAGGTTTACCTTAGAGCTCTGTAGCGGTCTGTGAAAAGAAAAACTAGTCACTTAAATCAGGGATTTTCAGTCTTGGCTCTGTTGACATTTGGGTCAGGTAATTTCTTTGTTGTGGGGAACTTTCCTGTGTATTGAAGGATGCTTAATAGTATCCTCAGCTTCTTCCTGCTTGATGATAGCGATGACAAAAATGTTTCTAGACATTACCAAATATCCTGTAGGGGACAAAATTGCCCCTGGCTGCGAACCATAGACATAAATTACTCAGTATCTGGAAGTAAATACATATCTATTGCATGATTGAAGTGTAACTTCTTGGTATTAGGACTAGACAACTTTTCTTCAGAGTCTCACTAGGGACTTGTGGATGTAATGAACAGTGTCCAGTACCTTAAAACAGATAAATTTGTTATTTTTAGGGCTATCTGTAATATCAGTATTTATTTATTTGATGATGATAACATGTCCAAGAAAAGTTTGTCAGTGCCATCCTGGGCATGGCAGAGGCATGGAAGGCGGTGTGAAGTGACCTAATTTGTCTAGAATGATCCAGCAATAGTTTTTAATTATCTGTAGGAAGATATGGGCTCTTTTCTTTTTATATCAAGTCTTCTTAAATGTTGGGGTTTTTTTAACATTGATTTTGATAAAATTATACTTGGCAATGATTTCAAAATTATATTCCCTGATATGTCTGGAATGAAGCCATTCTCAGTTTTCTCTTAAATATAGACCCTTGGCCCTACTTTTCATGGCAGTGGCCAGACAGTCTGCTATTCATTGTTGGTCTACAAAACAAGTATGCACAATTGCAGGCTTTCTCTTCTTGAGGAGAAAAGGATAATGTGAATTTTTCATAATGATAGCTTTATCTAATATAAAGGACCCCTTTATCCTGAGATTTTTATCTTCTGTTGTAAAAGGATACTTAGATGACAGCTTTTGGGTTTTTTTATGTCTTTTAGATTAGTAACTAGTAATAAGTTTGTCATTTCCTGTCCCCTTCTTATCCTCATTTTTTAAAACTGTCAAATCCTAAAGTTAGGAATTAATGCCTTCAAAGACATTTTGAGACAGGGTAGGATTGTCATTGTTTTGTGAAAATAAATGGAAAATTCACATCTGAATAGAATGTCTTCTTTCATTAGGATATGATAGATAAGAACACAGGGGCTTATCTTTTGCCAGAAATTGAGAAAAAACAATTTGTCTTATTGTGAGTGAATATTCTAAAATACTTGCAGCAAAGAATGGCAGGTTTTAGGCATCGATGGTATTTTGGGGTCATATTTTAATCTGTATAATTTTACACATACAGCCTGTATTCTCTTTTATATTATTAAGTAGTGAAACGTAAAATAGCACAGTGTCAGCCTTTGATCATATTCAGTTTTAGCAAATAGTTTCTACTCTGCACTTGCAAAGGAATAGCTAAAAAGAGTATCCTTTTCTGATAAAAGCTGAAAGATTGAAAATATCTAAACTTAATATAATTTTTTTGGAGGGTGATCAGGACTCTGTTGAGAAGTCATATCGCATATTTAGTGCAAGTGCAGTAACACTCAGTAAATGTTCACTGAGTGAACCCATTTACTCAGATGTCAAAATATGATGGTAAAATGATTCAGTTTCATGTAGTTTGCCATGCTAGCAGTAAAAATTTATTTCAAAATGAAAGGTTGGGTCAAATGGTTAGGTAGTTTTTTCCTGAAAGGAAAAAATATGGGGAGCTTGGCTTTTTTATGAATGTTTCACCTAGTGAAAAGCAAATAAGATAGCATTAAGCTTTGCGTTGATACCAGTATTCATTCATTCATTCATTCATTCATTCATTCATTCATTCATTGAGACAGGGTCTCACCCTTTTGCCCACCCTAGAGTTCAGTGACATGATCATTGCTAACTGTACCCTTTAAGTCCTAGTGATGTCAGTTTTTAGATATCTATAGATACTAGTAGTCTGAATAGTGCTCAGAAGAGGTTTCTAGAATATGCGAATTAGTTTTAAATAACCATGAATCACTTCATTTAAACTAATTTTGAGCAGTGAATTAATTTGTTTTTTGTTTGTTTGACATTTATTGTTTTGGCAGAACTAAGTTCAGAAAATCTTAGAACTTGCTTTAAGATCATCAATGGTTATATCTTTTTATCATCAACGGAATTTTTACAGGTATGTTGGAGTAGTTTTGCATTATATGAAATTATATAATTATTATTTTGATTATTTCTTATTTGAAATCAGGGGGTGCCTTTTCAAACTTTTAAGATTGGTCTTATTTTAAGGCAGAGAAACATTGACTGTGAGCATTTCCCATTGCAGGGCAGATGTGCTGCATGCAATTCCTTTCTTACTTAATGCAGAAAATGTGCTATGTTAACAAATTTTTATATTCCTATAAAAATCAATGTATCGATAATCTATATTTTTATTTGGCATAGTCTTTTTTCTTTAACTTTTCCTAGGAGTTAAATTGAAATTTGATATGCTCAGACCATTATTAGTGTATAATTCTGAAGTGCATTATAATGAATCCCAAATGAAATTTTATGCCTTTTTGATATTACAGATATGTTCTTACATATATTGACTTTTAATTGAATTTCAGACATATGCAGTAGGTCTATGCCAGTCGTTTTGTGAACTTTTAAAGGAAATTACTACAGAAGGTCAAGTTCAGGTGCTCAAGGTATTGTAATCATTTTAAATGAATATATTTGTGAATTTTTCATTTATATTTTATGATTGGGTGTGGACTTCCATTTGGGTGTGGATGGTTCACAAGAAGGACAAGAGTTGATATAGTTCTAGACAGGCTATTTTAGCAGTTTTCAGTTGGTTTAATACCTGTGGACCAGAGGTCTCAAATCTGAAGGTTCATACACTTTCAACAGGCAACAGATCAACTGGGCATCTTACGAAAATTCAATTCTGGATTTCTAACAAGGTCTGAACTGATTGGGATGTTGCCTGTCTTGAGACCTCACTTTGGGTAGTAAGGATTTAAGAACTCTTGCAAATTATGCAGTGATGTAATATCTGATACTTCTCATTCTTTCATTTTGTTAGTCTGCTGTTGGGACAAAGTTTTCACTTTATAATTTGATGGCTTTAATTTGAGTTAGCTATCAAAATTAGAGTACCATGTTTGTTGAGATTGTGTAACTATGAACCAAAAGTCTCTAAGTTATATATTATCTTTATATATTATACCTGTCTTAAAGATATAAGTAGTATTCAATGTATGTATTTACATATAAACAAATGTATGTAGAAATATATTAAAATATCTTTATGTATGGACTTTGAGAGAAGGTATAGCTGTTAAAAGTACCCCTATTTGGGTGCAGCAAACCAACACAGCACATGTATACATACGTGTCAAACCTGCACGTTGTACACATGTATCCTAGAACCTAAACTATAATGAAATAAATAAATAAATATAAAATTGATTCAAAATAAAAAGAAAAGTACCCCTATTTTTAGTGTTGAGTTTCTCAGCTATGTTCTAAGATACGAGAACTGAATTTCTATCACAACAAAGTAGCATTATGGTGTGAAAATCGTGGCGTTGCATTAGAGCCTAAAAATGATTTCACTTCCTCCCAGTGAAATGAAAGAGGTTATCCAAAGAGGTTTGCTGTAAAAAGTACACTTAAGTAATCACAATAACTGTAAGCAAGGATCCAAAGTGTACTTTAGGATCTAATTGGGTAAAAGTTTGCGCAGATAATGAAGTCTTACTTCATAATGACTGATATGGTTAGGCTTTGTGTCCACACCCAAATCACCCTATGATCAAGGGAATTGTAGGCATTACCACCCCCTGATTAGTTATCTCTACCTGGTCTCCCAAGTCAAGGGAATCCTGGGGATGGTTTCCCCCATGCTGTTCTCATGATAGCGAGTCCTCACGAGATCTGATTGTTTTATAAGGGCCTCCTCCCGCTTCGCTCAGCACTTCTTCCTGCCATCCCCTGAAGAAGCTGCCTCGCTTCCCTTTCACCTTCTGCCTTGATTGTAAGTTTCCTGAGGCCTCCCCAGCTATGCTGAACTGTGACTCAGTTAAACCTCTTTCCTTTATAAATTACCCAGTCTCAGGCAGTTCTTTATAGCAGTATGAAAATTGACTCATACATTAACCAATAAGATACCATCTAGATTTGCATAAGCACAGTCTATGACGTTTGCACAACAGTGAAATTGCCTGATGACACATTTCTCAGAACATATCCCTGTTGATAAGTGGCGCATGACTGTGTTTTTATTCACTGTCACAACTCTGCTAGCATGAATCAGGCTAATATAGTGTTAAGTACTGCAGAGAAGTGAACAAGAATAAAGAGAAAGAAGATGCCATTAGGATTGTCTACTGAGCATGGGGTTTACATTTTAAAACCAAAATTTGTAAACGTATTTTTGCATCTGTAAATTGGAAGGGTCATCTGCCAGATTACTGAAGTATTAAATTATAGATTGATGAGAAAAAGGAGCTTAAGGAAGTTAGTAAGGACTGTATTAGTTTCCTAGGGATGCTGTAAGAAAATACCACAACCTTGGTGGCTTAAAACAAGAGTTTCTTTATAATATTTATATTAATTATATAATTAAAAAATCAGTGTTTGTGGGGCCATGCTCTTTCTGAAGGGTCCAGGGGGAGAATCTGTTCCAAACCTTTCTCTTACCTTCTGGTGATTGCAGTCAGTCTTTTGCATTCCTTAGTTTGTGAATATGTAATCCAGCCATCTGTGCTTCCGCTGTCACATGATGTTCTCCTGGTATCTGTCTACGTCTCTGTTTTGTTTTTGTTGTTGCAGGGACAAAAGTCATAATTGATTAAGGGCATTCCCTAATATCTTCATCTTACCTTGATTACATCTGGAATATGGCAAAACTCTTTGACTTTAATTTTGTAGTTTATTAGTTTCTTTTTTAGAGCCAAGGGTTTACTAAAGGGTGAGAATATAAACCACTGTTACCAAGAATCATGTGGGCTCTAAAGGATTTGTAATAACAGCAATCTGCATGTGGCTTGTTGAGACTGTGGATACTTGAGGCCTGGTTTATTGCACTAGTCTATTAATCCACATTTATTATTAATTTCAAAGTATTCTCCTAGCTCCAAAGCTTACAAGTAACATCAAACATGTTGCTTACTAAAATGCTTTTGTGAATTTTTATTGCATTTATGCCTTTACTAAACTGACAGAGTGGCAATAGATTAAGGAACTCAGTCTTACACAATCTCAGCTTTAGCTTTTGCTTTGGCGATAAATTCTTCTCTGGAGGTAAGAGGAAATAAGGAATTAACACGTTGGACTTACTGACTATTTGAGGAAAAAGTGATTGGTGGTGTGGGAGTGATTAAAACAAGTGAAAATTGCCATGTCATTTTAATATTATCTTTACAGATATTTTTCTGTATGTATTCCTGTTTTAACCTTTCTCCTCTATTATACTGAGCTTCTCCATTATCCAAAGTTCAGTAAAAGTGTGCTCTGTTTGCTCTGAATACATATGTAGTAAGTGACTTGAAAGACGAGGAATCCATAATTTTTATGTTGAAGATGTGCATCCAGTATAACTGCCATCTTGCCTATACTGAGGATCCATTTGGAATTCTCTCCTTGACCAGCCCCTTGATTTGCATATGCTGCCCTGCTACTTTTATGGCTCTTGAGTATACTTTGGCCTTCATTTTCCTCATTTATTAGATGAGGAATGATACTAAATGATTTTTATTTTTTTAAGTATGCAGTACCTGAAGTTTTCCATGCTAAATTATAATATATGTATTCTAAGTGATTAAGAAAAGGTGATTTCTCACATTTAAGCACCTGCCAGACTAAATTTGAATTGACTTCACTCCCATCCCCCTCTTTTGGCTTTTCTGCAGCAATATTATTAACGTAATTGTTGAAAGACAACTTGTGAACTATTTGGAATGGCCATTGTGATTCTACTTGTTTTTATTATACTCTTACCAAATTATTAGAGGAAGCGTAGCATAGCAGATAAGACTGCCCACTGAAGGGAGACTCCCAGGGTTAGAACATTGGCTTTGCTACTTCACAGCTATGTGATGTGGACAGATTACTCTTTGTTTCTCATTTTCCATCTGTAACATGGGGATGATAACTTTACCTACTTCCTAGGATAGATGTGAGGAATATTTGAGCTTATATTTATAAACAGTTACAACAATGCCTAGCATATAATAAGTGAATATAAGAGTTGGCTGTTTTTATGTAATATATAGCTGTCTCATTATTTAGTCTTTCTATGGGGGGAAATAGACTACTACAATTTTAGGGAAAATAATTTGTTTGCTAAGATCTTTGGCTGTAGAGAAACCAAGTTGTTTTACTTTATCCTTTGACCATTTATTGGAAATAAATGCTTAATACATTTATTAAATTTACTTTTAAAACTAAGCACGTGGTTTACACAATGATGTGTATTATCAGCAAGAACTGCATATTTCCGCTGACTCTTTAGAATAATTAGTAATTATAGTTTGGTTGCTGGGTGCGGTGGCTCATGCCTGTAATCCCAGCACTTTGGGAGGCTGACGTGAGTGGATTACCTGACGTTGGAAGTTTGAGACCAGCCCGACCAACATAGACAAACCCTGTCTTTACTAAAAATACAAAATTAGCCGGGCACGGTGGCGCATGCCTGTAATCCCAGCTACTTGGGAGGCTGAGGCAGGAGAATCACTTGAACCTAGGAGGCAGAAGTTGCAGTGAGCCAAGGTGGTGCCATTGCACTTCAGCTTGGGCAACAAAAGCAAAACTCCATCTCAAAAAAGAAAAATAAAATTATTTTGACCGGGTGCGGTGGCTCACGCCTGTAATCCCAACACTTTGGGAGGCTGAGGTAGGCAGTTGATCTCAGGAGTTTGAGACTAGCCTGAGCAACACGATGAGCCCTGTCTTTACAAAAAATACAAAAATTAGCTGAGCATGGTGGTGTGTGCCTGTAATCCTAGCTACTCAGGAGGCTGAAGTGGGAGGATCTCTTGAGCCCAGGGGTTGGAGGCTGCAGTGAGCCGAGACTGTGCCGCTATACTCCAGCCTGGACAATAGAGTGAGACCCCGTTTAAAAAAATAAAAAGAAGAAGAAAATTAATTGTATTTTATTTATTTATTTTGGCTGCTCAGAATAACACAATCTTTTTAAACTTTTTTATTATTGAAAATTCCAAACTAACTTACTACATATCAAAAATCTGTAGTCAAATACATAGTCATTATTTTTGTAACATTTAATACAAATTACAAATTAAGGCAATTTCTCTGTAAGTATGCCAACAGTAGATTATTATTAGGATACAAATACTTGAATTAAGAAATTTGGAGTCAGAGATGGTGGTGTGTGCCTTTAATCCTATCTACTTCAGAGACTGAGGTTATAAGATCACTTAAGCTGAGGAGTTCGATTCCAACCTTCCGTGCAACATGACAAGACAGCATCTCTCTTTTTTCCTTCCTTTCTTTCTTTCTTTTTTTTTTAAGGCGGAGTTTCACTCTTGCTGCCCAGGCTGGAGTGCAATGGTGTGATCTCAGCTCACCGCAACCTCAAAAAAAGAAAAAGAATGAAAAACTGAGAATCTGATAATATGTGTTTAAGATGGTATTTTTGTACAAATATTGCTATAGCTCAGTCTGTATGTTTGGTTTAAAAATCTTAGAAACTAGATTTTATTATTTAATAAATGGATGTTAAATACTAAAAATATATTCATTATCATGAATAAATTGTATTTTTATGTTAAGGACTATTTTAGGACAATAGTGCTTTCATTTTACTGCTATATTTGAAGACTGGGCAAACTCTCAAAATTTTTGGCATTTTCCTGTTCTTAGAATTCTAGTATAACAATAACAATAGTTTTTAATATTAGCTCATTTTCATTTTTAGTATCTCTCAGATACCATTTCTTAATATAGTATGCTATATAACATTTTAAATATATTTTTTTACTAACTGCCAGTTATACTAATTTCTGACAGTATCTGCAAGTAACAACTTTGTTCTTTGAAGCAGAAAATTACAATGTTAGGAAAATTGGATAGAGAGCCCAGTATGGTATGCCTGCTTTTGGAGCAAATGGTATAGAGCAAAGAATTTACTTTATTTTGTGACTCAACATGTTATCTAGAGAAATACAATTATATGATAAAATACTCTAAATTGTTAACATTTCTTTAATTTGAAATTTGTCAATATTATAGCCATACTACTATGACTTTGAATTCTCATTCTGGTCGTGGTCGTATTAAGCAATGTCAAGCCAAGTTTCTTTTTTTCACTGTGATTAGACGTAAGATGACACAAATATTTTTAAGGTATAACTTATTCTGTAATAATAGTAGCTCATACTAGCATTTAACACGTGCTACACATTCTAAGCATACAAAACATAGATTTTATTTAATCCTTACATAAACATATGATGATAGTACTGCTCTTTTCCCCAGTCTTACAGATGAGAAATTAAATCACAAAGTGGTGAATAATTTTTTCAAGGCTGACAGTTAGTTAGCATTGGAACCACAATATAACATAGGCGTTTTGACTTTAGGATCTATGCGTTTAATCACTTTGTATACAGTGTAAGCGTAAGTCAAGTAAATTGTTAAATCCTGCATTTTTCACTAAAGTTTTAAGAACACAATCTGTTGCAGGTATATTTTGAAAGGGAATGGGTTTAAAGTGCAAAAGTTCTTTTTGTAATAACAAAATGTTGTCAAAAAACAATTAGTAATGGGTAATTGGATGATTGAAGTTCCACATCTTGTTAGGTATACAGTGGAGTACTGTGCATTCCATTAAAAAGAAATGAAGAAAATCTCTATTTGAGTTTGAGAATATAAACAAGGAGCGGTGTCTCTAGTTTTCTTCTGTTTAAAAAGTGGAAGAAGGCAGTGGAAGAATAAACCAGGTAATTAAAATAGCTATCTAGCAAAAAGAGGAGGAGAGGGTGAAACTAGATCTGTCAAGATGTATATTTGTTTTATATTTTAGAGTTTGGAACCATGTAGAGGTAAAGTATGATTTAGGGGGAAAAATCACTGAAGATACAAAACAGACTGAAACATTTGAATCTAACTGTTATGATGTTGGTGGCATAGTTATTTGAGAAGAATATTTCAAGTCATTTTAATACATAGTATTTCACATGTATATCCCTGGTGGGATGTAATGTTACAACAAAAAAATGTTTCTAATTGCATTCAATAGTGTTATCGTCATCAGTAATATTGGTAGTGTTATTTTGAAACTCGTATATGAATAGTAGAAAGAAATAAGGTTATAGGACCTGGCATTTTTCAGTGTAAGAGAAAAAATATAGGACCATTTCGTATGGATTTCCCACAGGCACCTCAAATTCAGTATATCAGAATGGAATGTCATTATTATTATTGACACCACAATTGTATCCATTTGACCAAACAGGAAAACTAGAAGCAGTGAAAGACTTTTTCACCTTTGGTCCACTGTTCAGCTTTTCTGTATGTTGCCAGTTCTAATTCTGAATTTTCTCTTGATTCTGTCCCATACCCTCTGCACCCAAGTCTGATAATGATATTTTTCTTTCAGAAACTTCTCTAGCTATGGTTCCTGACCTTTTAGACCACAAAAACTCTATTTTATCCATGAAATATTTGTGTATACGACTATGTTATTTATTTACTCAATCAGATACTGCTTTATGTGGGGATTATTTAATCCTTACATTAATTCTAAATACCCCCTTGCCACAACCCCCTGTTCCCCGCTGCCAAACAAAACTATAAAGATTCCTGTGGATTGGGGCCAGCCACAGCTCTGTATTATTACTATAAATTCTCTTCAAACCGTTTTGTTTTTAAAATTTTAATCAGAATTTTATATGACATAGTTTAGAGTCAACTAGACAGATGTATAATGTTTCTTAAAGAAAAACACTGTAGTCAGCTGTCTTTCTGCCATTTTTCCTTGCTTAGAGACAACCACTTTTATTGTTTGGAGCCGATTGATTCTTTTGTATCTATGATCAGATCTGGAAATAACACCCCTGTGTTATTCCTTCATGAGTTGTTAATTGTAGGCAGTATGTATTGATACCGCCTTTGCACTTCCTCTGTGCCTTTGTCCTCCAAGTAATCAAAATTCAGTGTTTACATCATGATTCCTATATTTCCTATTCAAAGCTGAGACATGTAGTCAGCTGTGTTTACTTCTCCTACTTCTCCTTTTCTGTACAATCTTTTGTATTCCCTGGAAGTAATACTTACCCTTTTTTTTTTGGTATAATTTTTTTTATGTTCACTGAACTGTCTGACAGATGTCCAATATGTTCAGACACATCAAGGATTCTGTTACTTTAATTTTCTTGGGGAAGTCTCTTCAGAGCCATGCTGACTCCCACCTTGGGGCTCCTTCTTTTCCAAGTTTGTAGCTGCTGCTTCTTGTTCCTATTCTGAAATTTTAGAATGAGGTGCCGTGATGTAAGTTTATTTAAATACATTCTGTTGGGCACTGATGAGCTCTTTTAGTCTGGAAGCAATCTCTTTTAGAGTCTTTATAGAAAATTCACTGTCTTTGTTCTCCTGGATTGGGCATCAGTTGTCCAGATACTACAGAGTTGAAAATATGTAGCACTCTGTTTCTTAGACAGACTTTCAACCAGTCTTATTTTCTTTCTTTTTATTTTTAGCTTCCCCTTTCTCCTTCTGAAAAGTGTAAGGTTCTGCTACTTTCTGTGTTTTTTGGAGTAGAGAAAGTGGGGAAAGTTACATGAAGTAAATCTGGTTGCTTCTCAGCTTTCTCTGACTTAATGAGTCAGTTTCCTCTTGAATTTCTTCTTTCTTGCTTTCAGTGTATGTTTCTCATTCCTCTTGTCCTTTTAAAATTATGTTCCCCCTCTTAAAATTTTTTTTCTATAATTTTAGTAGGATTTGAGATGGGAGTGAAATTATACATGTATTTAATAATGGGCAGGTGGCCTTACTTTCTACTCACAGATAAATACTGTCTGGTGATATCTGCCTCTATGACTCTCTCAATCTACTAGCTTATCTGTATATTTTCCATGTTTATCTTTTTTTCCCAGATCTAGTTTTGGTGTTTTTTTCCCAAAAAAATAAACTTTATTGAGATAAAATTTTATTGTTTCAAATTTTATCTTCTCTTGCTTTTAATCAGGAATTGATATCTTGTGAACCTGTATCTCTTAGTAGTAGCATATATAGTGCTTGCCCCACAGTAAAGTCTTTATATTTTTAATCTTTTATTTGGACATTACCTTCACTTCTTGCTCAAAATTAGAGCAGCAGCAAATGTTGTTATCAACCATGGATGCTACTTGCTTACCTTGGTACTGTTTTGAAATGCTTGGAAGTATTCTTGATGGTCATAATTTTTGGAGTACACTGTTGGCACACAGTAAGCAGACACTGGAAGATGCTAAATCTCCCTCAATGCATGGGATGACTATGCACAGTAAATGGTTCTCTTCATTCAAAATGTCAGTAGTCAATCTTGAGAATCATTGATAGAAGTCATAAGGGAAACTTGGCTCTACCCTGAGGCTATTCCTTGCCCACAACCCTCTCAGATGGTATCTGTTTCCTTCCCCACCTCTCAAGCACTTGGGCTGGAAGTGTGGGGTAAATGTCCTTTTTGGTCCTTTTTGCTGTTTCCTGACCACTGCATTCTTCTCCTCCTAAAACTTAAAACAACAATAAACAAAAAGCCTCCACCCTGCTTTGAATTTCATGCTTACCCATTTTTGTTATAGAAGAAACATCTCACTCATATCAAAATAATTTCTATGTCGTTTTCACATGTAACAATCAATACTCATGACTAACAGTGTAATTATTAATGAAATATGATTTCTAATTTAATAAATATGCAGTATATATGCCACATGCCTTTTCCTCCAATTTATTGATTGACTTAAATGTGGATTTATTTCTGGGCAGTGAGTATAGGTGTTACTAACTTCCTGTTTAGCTATCAAAAGCCAATATTTTAAAAATGCCTTTTGCTGCCTCTATTAGTGCATCATTTTTAAGGGTTATTTGTTTAAATTGCAAGGGTAAGAATTACATTAACTGCATGTGATACCTATGTTATTACAATGTGATTAAATACAGTTGTATGCAAGATATATAGCTGTGTGTAAATATATACTTCATATCAAACTGCAATTTTAAAATGGATTACCTTGTAAAAGTGTGTCTGGTGTCGGAATATTGCGTACTCTGCATTCTTAAATTTGGTCTGTGATATTTATTTTAGTGTATTGTTTCCTTACATGTGTTTTTCATAAAGGAATGACTTTCAGTATTATCACCAATGTTTCTTTCTGGGTTTTAGGTTGTAGAAAATGCCCTTAAAGTGAACCCAATATTAGGTCCGCAAATGTTTCAACCGATTTTACCCTATGTTTTCAAGGGTATTATAGAAGGGGAGGTAAGATTTTTCTTTACGTTCCAGAGGTAGTATTAGACTATAGGATTCTAATTTTAATTACTCTATTAGATGCAGAAGGAAAACTTTTCTTGTCATTTGGATCATATTAAATTACGTTAAATTTTCAGGGCAGTTAGACGCCTTTGTCTTTTCCTGTTCCACACAGGGAAGCATAGATTTTCTTTGACATGACTCTTTCAAACATATGCATGTATGTTCACACAAAAGTCCTTTGAAGTACAGGAATGGTGAATGGCCTAATTCCAATGCTTGACTACTAAGAATATGAGGGGGACAGGATAGTGTTAATGCTGGTATAGACTGAATATGTTAAACCACTGGTTATTTTCTAAGAACAGCTCTCTTAAATAGATCCATAGACCTGTGTGTGTTATGAGTATTTAAAGTAATACAGTGTTGGGAGGCGGAGGTTGCAATGAGCGGAGATCATACCACTGCACTCCTGCCTGGGTGACAGAGTGAACTCCATCTCAAAAAAAAAAAAAAAAGTAATATATGAAATTGGTAAATATTGTTTCTTTCTCTTTATTGGACATATATATATATGTATAGATAGATGATGCATATAATTCATACATGTATTTAGTAAGTTAGAACTCAGGCAATATTGACAGTTCATTCTAAAGAGAAGTAATATGGAGGAGAATGTTATTTTATATCTGTGTTGCTTGTTACTGTGTCAGTGATTGTTTATACTTGTACTATAACACAATTTTACAAGTGTTGTATTTTAATTGTACAGAGGTATCCTGTAGTGATGTCCACGTATCTTGGAGTTATGGGTCGAGTTCTACTACAAAACACTAGTTTTTTTTCTTCACTACTTAATGAGATGGCCCATAAATTTAATCAGGAGGTAAGAATCAATGTACTTAAATTTAAGGAAGTCTTTATCTAAATATAAATTAGAAATAGTTTGATGAAATAATGAGTCTTTGTAAAAGTCGCTTTATAATATTTAGACCTTTACATTTTAAATCTTTATGCTATATCAGTAATTTGGGATAGAAAAAGGAATCTGTAAGTGGCAGTTGAAACTTACAAATTTTTGTCCTCGCTCAAAATAGGTGATTTTATTCTGCTTAGCCATAGAATATAATGTTCGTTTGTTTATAGCTGCTGTTTTTCTTCACTGATACAGAATCTGAAAATGGGTATTTTGCATGGAGTGATGTAACATCTTTGTATTATTTCTTTAGTTAACTTATTTTTAATGTCACAGATTGAGAGAATTTCTGTTCTGATTATTGTGGAAATGACCTTTTTAGCAAAGGTTTACTTTAAAAATTGTGGCTGATATCTATTACCAGAGTAAGTTTGGAATGGGTTTTTCAGTGAGGTGATTTAAGACTATATATATGATAATCCAAATAAGATTATGCTGTAAGTCATTAATCCGTTTATTAAGATTTATATGATATAGAAGATAGGGTATACTTGACCAGTATATCTACATTGGAGACAATTTTTAAAATCTTTTGGTTTATGGCTGAAAACAAATACAACTATTTCTAATATAAGGAAATCCAGAATAAGGAAGTACAAATTTTTAAATATATGTAGCTTTTCTAGAATTAGACTAATCAGAGATCCCCACCTTTGTTTTGATAAATAAATAGGGTATATTTTTTATTAGCTTATTAATTTTAATTGAAATGGGATAATATTTTTCAGTTCTTTTTTTTTTTTTTTTTTTTTTTTTAGTAGAGATGAGGTCTTGCTGTGTCGTCCAAGCTGTTCTCAAATTTCTGAGCTCAAGTGATCTTCCCACCTTGGTCACCCAAAGTGCTGAGATTACCGGATAACTAAAAATATTTAAGAACATAAGAGAGAAAATTAAAATGATCCAGAGGAAACATCAGAATGCCATTACTATGTATTCATTTTCTTGTTTCCATGAGGGGCCTGGTCATGTTTCCAACATTTCTTGAAATATGTGTCCTTCTTTCCTTGCATTAGTTCATGAAGATTCAATCTGAGGTCACAATGAGTAAATATTTAATCACCAAAGTTACAGATTAATCTCTTAAATTTTTTTAATTGACACATAATAGTTGTAGACATTTATGGAGTACATAGTGATATTTCTATACATACAGTGTATAGTGATCAAATCAGGGTAATTGACATATCTATTACCCCAAACACTTACTATTTCTCTATATTGGGAACATACAACAGCCTCCTCGTCACTATTTGAAACTATATATTACTGTTAACTGTAGTCATCTTGCAGTGCTATATAGAACACTAGAACTTATTTCTCCTATCTACCTGTGATTTTTTTTATCTTTTAACCAATCTCTCTCTCTCTCCCCACTTTCCCCTTACCTTTCCCAGTCTCTAGTAACCACTGTTCTACTGTCTACTTCTTTGAGGTCATCTTTTTTAGCTTCTACATGAGAAGTGAGAACATGCAGTATTTATCTTTCTGTTCCTGGCTTATTTCACTTAACATAATGCTCTCTAGCCTCACCCATGTTGCCACAAATGACAGGAATTCATTCTTTCTTGAGATCAAATAGTATTCGTGTGTGTGTGTGTGATATTTTCCGTATCCATTCATCTGTAGATAGGTGCCTAGGTTAATTCCATATCTTGGCTATTCTGAACAGTGCTGTAATAAAGATGAGGGAACAGGTGTCTTTTCAATACAATTCTTTTGGAGATATATATATCCAGTAGTGAGATTGCTGGATCATACAAGAGTTCAATTTGTAGTTTTTTGAGGAAACTCATGATGTTCTCCATAATGGCTATACTAGTTTACATTCCCACCAGTAGTGCCTGAGTTCCCTTTGCTCTACATCCTTTCTAGCATTTGTTATTTTTTGCCTTTTTCATAATAGCCATTCTAACTAGAGTGAGATGATATCTCATTGTGGTTGTGATTTGCACTTCCCTGATGACTATTGATGTTGATCCTTTTTTTGTTTTGTTTTTGAGACAGAGTCTCACTCTGTCACCTAGGCTAGAGTGCAGTGGCACGATCTCGGCTCACTGCAACCTCTGCCTCCCGGGTTCAAGCGATTCTCTTGCCTCAGCCTCCCAAGTAGGTGAGATTACAGACACCCACCACCCTGCCTGGCTATGGGGTTTCACCATGTTGGCCGGACTAGTATCGAACTCCTGACCTCAGGGGATCTGCCCGCCTTGGCTGCCCAAAGTGCTGGGATTACGGGCATGAGTCACTGCGCCTGGCCGATGTTGACCATTTTTTCATGTACCTGTTGACCATCTGTATTTCTTTGTTTGAGAGCTCTTTATTCAGATAATTGTTCTACTTTTAAAATGGATTATTATTTTTATTTAGCTGTTGGTTGAGTTCTTTGTGTATTTCGGAAAGTAATCCTTTGTTGGATGTATAATTTGCAACTATTTTCTCCCATTCTGTGAGATGTCCTTTTACTCCGTTGTTTGTTGCTTTTGCCATATGGAAGCTTTTTAGTTTGATAGAATCCCGTTTGTCTGTTTTTCTTTTTGTTGCCTATTTTTTTGAGGTTTTATTCATAAAATCTTTTCTCTGACCAGTGTCCTGATGTGTTTTCCCTGTTTTCTTCTAGTAATTTTATATTTGTGGGTCCCACATTTTAAGTCTTTAGTTCATTTAAAGTTGACTTATGTATATCACCAGAGATAGGGGTCTAGTTTAATTCTTCTGCATATGGATATCCAGTTTTTCTAGCACTGTGGTTGAAGTAACTGTTCTTTCTCCATGAATATTCATGCTACCTTTTCCTAAAATCAGTTGGCTGTGAATGTATGGATTTACTTCTGGGTTCTCTGTTCTGTTGGTCTGTGTGTGTTTTTATGCTGGTACCATGCTATTTTGGTTACTATATTTGTAGTATATATATTGTATTTGTTATACACACACACGCACACACACTTTTTTCACTTTTTTTTTTTTGGTGGGGGGGAGATGGAGTCTAGCTCTGTGGCCCAGGCTGGAGTGCAGTAGCAGAATCTTGGCTCACTGCAACCACCGCTTCCCAGGCTCAAGCAATTTTCCTGACTCAGCCTCCCCAGTAACTGGGCTTATAGGCACGTGCCACCATGTCTGGCTACTTTTTGTATTTTAGTAGAGACAAGGTTTCACCATTTTGGCCAGACTGATCTCGAACCCCTGACCTCAAGTGATCCACCCGCTCTGGACTCCCAAAGTGCTGGGATTACAGGACTGAGCCACTGCACCTGGCTTATGTAGTATATTTTGAAATATGGTGATGTGATGCCTCTAGTTTTGTTCTTTTTGCTCAGCATTGCTTTGGCTATTTGGGA